GTACAGCGTTCTCTCTCCCACCTTCAATACCACGACTGAGGTGCCCTTGAGCAAGGCCCCGAACCCCCAACTGCTCCCCGGGCGCCGCAGCAACAAATGGCTGCCCACTGCTCCGGGTGTGTGTTCACGGTGTGTGTGTTCACTGCTGTGTGTGTGCACTTTGGATGGGATAAATGCAGAGCACTAATTGTGAGTATGGGTCACCATACTTGGCCACATGTCACGTCACTTTCACTTTCACGTGTGAAATTGCTATTTTATTAGCCCACATACCATCATCTGAGACCTACACCACTCTAATATCTATCTGTCAGATCACAGTGGACGCATACATTACCGTTGAAAAATTTTGGGTCTGTAAGAAGATGCATAAAATTGGTCAAAGGTGACAGTAAAGATTTATAATGTTTCAAAAATAAATTAAGTAAATGTTGTTCTTGAACTTTCAATTGGTGTGTGTGTCTCCATAAAAATATTAAGCAGCACAGCTGTTTTCAACATTGATAATAATAAGACATGTTTCCTAAGCTGCAAATTAGAAGAAATATAATTATTTCTGAAGGATCATGTTACACTGAAGACTGGAGTAATGGCTACTGAAAATTCAGCTTTTAATTGTAATAATATCATATAATTTTATTACTATTTTTACGGTATTTTTGATCTTATAAATGCAGCCTTCGTTAACATAATAGACATTTTTCAAAAAACATACAAAATCTTACCTACCCAAAACTTTTGAACGGTAGTCTGTGTTATCTCATATTAGATTGAATCAATTGGTTGACTTTCTGTCTTCTGTGGAACACAAAAACAGATATTTTGAAGAATTTTTCAATAGTTTTTTTCCCATGCTAAATATGAAAAAGCAACAAGTTAGTGCAAATGTAATTTCCTTCAAGTGAAAAAAACTATTCTATTTAAAATGACACTACTCTTACAAAAACCATACACTCTGGCAGAGTACATGTTTTGTGTACAGTAAGTACACAGTGTGTAGTTGATCAACTAGAATCAGTCAGCATTTTGTGCACTCAATATGTAAATCATATTGAAATAACCCACTCTTGATTTCCTATATTTTAACACAAAATGGTGGTTGATGCCCATGCACATAAATAAGTGACGTAAAAGCAGAAGTCTTGTAATATTGCATTTGCTCACCAATGAGGATTCTTCTAGACTTTAAGAGCAGCTCTTTACACAGTGTTCAGAGGTCTAGATGGAGCTGCCACTGCGCTAACTTCTCACGATGGAGAGCTAGCTGTACCTGAGTGCTGTCTGCACCTGTGAAGTCATGTCACGAGGAAGGAAGTGTCAGGTGAAAATCAAGGTGGTGACGTGGGAAACGCTTTTAGAATATGTTCTTGTTCTCAAGTAGTCTTTTCTTTCACGTCTTTACTGGCTAAGAGAGGCACAGAAATGATTCAGGGAACATTATATAAAGCTGTCTGCAGTAGTTCTACCCATTTACACGTTCAAAATTCTGATGGCTCAATGCATCAGTGCACGCAATGTAAATTTAGCTGTCAAAAGGATCTTAGAAATGTGTGTTATTTCACCTAATGTGTATGTGGATTATGGAAAGGCTACAAAGAGAGGTAAACGGCAAGAGTATGTACTACAAAATCAGTGTTTTTGTCCTTCAGTTTTCCGGTAAAAATATCAAAACATCCCTAAAACAAGCTAAATTTGTTCAGTAAGCAAAATTATGTACGATAAAAGAACCAGGCTTTGTTTTAGTGTCATTTAAACACTATAATAATATGTATTAATATTTTGAATTAGCTTTTATTTTTGTATTTAGAATTTTAGTTATTTATTCGTTTTTTTATATTACAATATAGGTTAAATGTATTTTTATTAAATAGTAGTGTTGTAGTACTTTACCTTAAACTTATTTATTTCAGTTTGTTAAATTGTTATTTATTTTTTTAATGATTATAATAAACAATAATTTTTATTTAGTTTCAGCTTTATTTTGTAGCGAATCAGCTCATAAGGGAAATATGAATAATTAATCATAACTAGTTATAATGAATTATAAATATTTAGATCCGCTGTAGATATTTACTTGACCTCTCAGGGTCAACTGTCTGTCAATTCTAAGAACGTTAATTTCCTGGTTAAGGGGAATAACTTTCTTACTGTACAATTCTACAAAGAGCTTGTAGCATAAATCTGCATGATTAAGTGACTCCAGTTATGAGCAAACAATGAACAACGTCAAGTGTGATACAAGTAAGACTTTATTAACTACATAAACACTTAAACTAGTCTAACATACTACATAAACACTTAAACTGGTCTAACATACAGATACACATACACATACTCACACACATACTGTTGGTATAGGAAAGGGTTAAAGCTTAACGCAGAAAGAGGAGAGAAA